TGAAGCCACAGAATGGATGGTTTAGAAAGAGGGTGAGCGGTTAAAGCTCTTGGGAGAAATGGTCATGCTATGGGCTTGATGGTAGAAAGGAGGGAGCAAACCTGAAAGATAGTTTGGAGAGAAATGTGATAGGATTTGGGACATAGGAGTCTAGCCTGTGATGGAGAAGGTTAGAACCCTATCAGGGTCCCATGGCTGCTATCACAGGTTGCCACAAACCTACCGACTTAAACCACATACATTCATTCTCTCACAGTTTTGTAGGCCAGAAGTCCAAAATGCGTCTCACAGGGCTAAAATCAAGGTGTCCACAGGGCTCTTCCTCCTGGGGACTCCAGAGGAAAGACCATTCCTCGCCTCCTCCAGTGACTGTCAGCAATCCTTGGCCTGTGGCCACATCACTCCAACCTCTTGCTTCCATTGTCACATCTACTACTCGCTCTAACCCTCCTCTTTCCCTCTTTTAAGGTCTGGTATGATTATGTCAGGCTTTCCCAGATAATCCAGGATAATCTCCCCATCTCAAAATCTTAAACTTAACCACATCTGCAAAGGGATTAGGATGTCAGTATCTTGGGGCGGGGGAGAGGCGTCACTCAGCCTACCACAACGATGAAACCTAGATCACAGACACTGGCGACGAAGTGGCCCTTTCAACCAAGAATGGAGGAGGTTGGTGGAGAAGATGTTGAGCTTGATGTAGGAGATAATGATTCTAATTAGAAACTTGGGAGACGGCCAGCCAGGGGATCCAACAGACCATGGTCCATGCAGCTTCAGGGCAAAGAATGGAGGAGTGATCCCAGAGTGCGACTTTCAAGTCTTCAACAATGTAGGCAGAGCTGTATCCATAGGAATAAACGAAGCTTTCCTTATTTCACACTCATCTCCTAGGCAAAAAGCGTCAAGACTAGAAAGCAGAGGAAGAACCAGTACTGGACATCAGACAGAGGAGGCGGCATTTCTGGAGACTGAGGAGGAATCCGAGAGTTGTTCCAAGACAGAGGGGTGGGAGAGATGACCAGGCGGCAGTGGGGTGGGGGTCACAGTGTCACATACAAGACAAAGACTAGGTAGAGTAGGACTAAGGTTTGACCACTCATTGGTGACCTCAAAGACACTGGAGCAGAGTGGAAACCAGTGGCCAGATTTCCAGAGTTCTGAAGCAAGTCTGGCCACATTTTTTTTTTTGAGAAGTGAAACAGTGGGAGACTGAGATGGCAGCCTCAGAAACTGAGTCAATTTGTTCGCATTGAGCAGGGCCCCCAGCTTGGGGAGAGGTTGGTGTTGCAGAAGAAGGATGTGAATTTCTGCAGCCAGTCTTGAAGGGATGGGACAGCACAGAAGGGAGAGCCAGGATAGGGGTTCCCCCTTCTTTGCCAGCAGGAGAGGCTGGGCATCCATGATGAACAGATCGAAGATAGAAAGAAAAGAAATCCATCCCAGTTTTGCACAGAAACGGGAGACAAGGTCATGAGATGAGAATGGGACAGGGAGAGGCTAGAGGTATTTGAAGGGCAGTGGCAGCGAAGAAAATCCCCAGAGTGACTCCAGGCGGAACCCAGGCCCTCTCAGGCCCCCTGTCTGTCAGCAGAGGTCCCAGTCTTCATCCCTTCAGTACAAGACGTGAGGCTGGGAAAACAGAGCTTCTGCAGGCCAGCTCGGAGGCCTGGTCTCCTCTGCTTCTCCTTCTTTGTTCTTGTCCGGTGATGGTGACCTCAGGGTGAAAGCCAGCAGCTGATTCGACATGAGAGGAGGTGTGGGCAGGAGCTGAGAGCAGCCGCACTTGAGCTGAATGAGTCCTTCCTCTCCCACCCCTAGGAACCTCAGCCTCAGCCTCCCTCCCCAATTCCCCAACCAGATTTTGGTGCTATGCACAACTTTGGCCAGCTCACTCCCTGTCTCTAGGCCTCCCAGAGAAATGAGAGACTTGGAGGCAGTGACCGCCAAGGGCCTTTCAGCCCTCTCAGCCTCTGAAGCACAGCCTTGGACGTGGAAAGGCTGTCTGAACTGCCACAGGGGCCTCCACCTCTTTGGAGATGGGCCCAGGCCTCTGTCATTGCGTAAACATGATGCAGGCCTGTTTGGTGCTGCATAGCTGTGGTTTTCTGTTTTCCCCAGCAGTAGCTACAAGGCCAGGGCTGCAGTTGAGACAGCCCAGCAGGGAGGGAGAGGGTGGGGAGGAGGGCAGGAAAGAGAGTGCTTCTCTGTGCAGCCTTCTCTGCTTGGCTGGAAAGTTTGCAAAAAGGAAAAAAAATGCATGCATTAGCCCCTTCCTCCACCGCCCAGCACCAATTCCAAAGAAAATGGGTCCTTCCTAACGTCTTTTGAACAGAAAGCACATTTTCCAGGGCACCCTCCATCTGCTTTGAAGCAGACACCATCACACAGCCTTCGTGAACATGGCCTTGGGCAGGTCTTACAAAACAGCAAGCCCCATGGGATCAGAGGGGGAAGCCTTTGGCAAAAGCAACCACAGACTCTGCCGGACCAGCCTATTATCTGTGTGCACTTCAGCATATACAGACCCTCCCCAGGGCCGGGCACGCAGTAGGTCCAGATAATCCGTGTTTCTTAAGCCAAGCAGAATTGAATCAGGAAAGAATACAAGACCATCCCTGAAGAGAAGAAATGGCCCTGGAGGAGGCGGTGGGCGTGATCAGTGCCCCCCTTGGAACCGTTGCTGGGCCCATATCTCCATCCTCCAGCTGCCGAGGGGGTGGGTTGCCAACAGCACACATTGTACCCTTCACAGAACTGCCCTTGGGTGATGGGAGCTGTCTCATCAGAAGATACCAGGGAATTGGTCCATCCTTCTAAACGGCAACCCTCTACCCATGACTTACAGGTGGCAGAGTTTAAATCTCAGCCCCTTTGCCTCCAGTTGGGACAAATCTTTGGTATAATTCACTGAACTCCAGAGCTCCCCATGGGATCAGACTAAGGGACTGTCACATCTCTGCTTGGCAGGAAGCCTCCTCTGCTTCCCTCACTGCTTTACAGGTTTCTCCTGAGAACACCCCTCAACACAGGACTCCTGCAGGAATCCAGGCTTTACCCTCTATTTCTAGTGAACCTGGCCTAAGACGACGGGGAGAGTTTTCTAGACAAGACCCTGCTCGGGAGCAGTCTTTCCTATCTAAAGCCAAAAGAGTTGTCCAGCTGCTCACCCGGCAGCAGGAGAGAGCAGAGGGCACTCGACAGCTGGCATCTGGCGGGGTCAGAGCTTCCTGGCGCAGCATGGCACACCCAGAAGGGTCGACCAGCCCAGGCCACAGCAGCCCCGATAGGACTGGAGCACAGTTCAGCCGGTAGAGGTTACCCGAAGCTGCAGGACTCACTGGGGCTCAAGCACTGCTGACCAGTTCAGCCTAGTCGACTGGGGACCAGCACAGACACAAGACGGAGCACTAGCACTATTTGTACCAAACTGCGCAAATATTTACAACAGAAGCAAGAGCAATTATAACAGTGATTATAACATGTATCATGCAACAAGTGCTGTTCTGGGCCAAGCCACTGCCAGTCTGTTATTTACTCCTCCCACCATTCTAGGCGGGGATTACAATCTCCACTTTAGATAAAATGGTGGCCACGCCCACTTGCATAGCACATCTGTGCTTGCATGTAGCCAGAAAAATACATATGTACACACGGCACACAGCCCACGTGTCACTGTTCTGATTAGCTGTTGAAGAACAAATGCAGTACTATGCATGGAACAGTTTATTAAGGATGCTGCCCTTAAGATGGCAGCAAGAACTCCCTGTCACCCTTGCAGCTGTGGTTCAAAGGCCCTTGTCGTCCCCTGCGCACCAGTAGCCACTGCCCTCCAAGACCAGAGCCAGCAGAGCCAGCCCCCAGTACGCAGCCACCTCCTGCCCTGGTCCTTCAGATCTCTGAAGCTGTAGCCTCTCCCCACTCCCTGGAAGGGGCTGAGCCAGGTTCTAGAGTCCAGTCTGGGGACAGCTGTGCCAGAAATCAGGACAACTTGTTCCATCCATGCACAGAGAAACAGATTGCCCTGAGGCTGTGACTTCTGACCTTTGTGAGGTTAGCATCAGGGATGCTGGGCTGCAGGGACCCAGATGTCCTGGAGAGAACCAGACACCTTTAGATACTCCCAGAGTTGCCCACACCCTGCGAGTCCAGGCTGAGAGCTCAGCCTTATAACAGCTACCCCTCCCTCTGGGGTTCCTTGGGAGATGGGGCTGGTCTCCATGAAGCTTCTGGGACACCTGGCCTAACCCAAGGCTCCCGCGCTCATAGCTCTAAACTAGGGTCCACAGACCAGGGTTCGTATGGTCCTGGTCTCTGTGGGAAGTAAGCCTCAAGTCCCTGCCCCTCCACCACAGCTCTGGGAGCGCCAACACTACTCACCAAGGACAAAGCCTCAGTCTCCACTTCTGTAAAATGGGAATAAGAACGTGTGTGTATGGGTCAGCATCGTAGGTTAAGCTGTGTAAAAAATCCCCATGCCTCGATGACTTCACTGGATAGTTTTATTCTCACTCACATAAAGGTCTGCATCGGGCAAGCAGCCCTCCTTCATCTGGTGGCTCTGGCCTCCAGGGCCACTGCAGAAGAGGGGAGAGCGGGATGGCGGAGGTGTGTATTACTTCAGCCAAAGGGGCACATCTAGGTTTTCTGGGCCTGAAACTTACACAGCTTAGGAGCGCTCTCTAAGAAAAGTTTTACAAAATTATACATGTAACATATATATGTATTTTTAACCTATATTTTACATATACATTTTTACGGCTGCTCCAACACCATTGTACACAGAAACTACAAAAACAACATACCCATGGGCCCCAGAGAGAGGGGCCGGGGCAAGTGAGGGCCCTGGAGCCCACACTCCGTTAGCCTTAAAGTAAATCGGCATCCGCCAGGCCTGAAAGCGACTCACAATCCACTGGCCGGAACCAGGACACGGGCCCAGTCTCATCATAGGAGGCTGGGAGGTGGAAGGGAGAACCTGTCTCTTTGTGAACACGCACCTTCTCCAGCAGCATGCTGAGCTCACGGCAGCTGGGTGATGGAGGCCCGCGGAGTGCAGGCTTGCAGGCAGAAGCTAGATGCAAGTGCAGGGATCCAGGAGAGCAGGAGGGAGGGCGGGGCAGGGGAGCTCCGCCCAGCCAGAGTCAGGAGGGCAGGGCTCTGGTCCCAGAGCTTTGCCTTCTCAACAGTGAGAACCCAGTGACTTATTCAACCCTTCTTGCGCCTCTCTGGCTCCATTGCCTAGGTATGTAAACTGATCCTGACTGCCCAACGTGACTGTGAAGAGAAAACAAGATCTAGAGCCTAGAAAGGCTGTGCAAATAGCCCCGGGCCATGCAGAAGTGAGCCCCTGATTGTAGTTCTTTTTAGCAGAGCTGCTCTGTCATTCTTCCCACAGTCACCCAAAATCTGGTGGTCCCTGGTCCCCAGAGTGCTGCCCGTGGGTCCTTGGCGCTGCCTCAGTTACGGAGGCCAAGGTTAAGTCTCCACTTCTCAAGGCTGCCCTGCCTTACCCCATCTGCACGCCCCGCCCAGGGAGACAGGCCAGGGGAGCAGAACAGAGTCAGCTGCTGCCTGAACTCACTGGATTGTCCGGGAAGATTCTGGAACATTCTAGAGTTCAAACGGCTCTCCAGAGGTTAGCTTATCCATCGGTGGGCACTGCAAACATTCAGCTCTTCCAGGGGGTGCCCCTCTGTCATCGGCAGGACAGTCAGAAAGCAGCTCAGCTATTATGAGCAGCACCCCCACCCCACAGCACCCCAGTAGAGCTTTTTTTAAATCTTCATAGCCTCCCTGCAACCCTCTCACTCTGGAATGTCATACCATGTCGTAATAAACACATCACACATCAGAATGTGTCTACATCCCACTTCAAATATCATTTACATATAACTTCATAGGAGCTGAGATGAGTTGAATTTAACAAGTTGACATGATGTTACATTATGCACATATTCAATTAAACATCAATTAATTTTGATTTCACAGTCATTTTTTGAAGTCGATCGCTTTTTTTAGGTATCAAATGCTCTTGAAAAATTAGTAATCCACAGGCTCTGGGTTTGGGGTGCCCATGGAAAAATCAACCCCTGGACACCACCCTACCTGGTGTAAACAGTCAGGCTTTCCTGTCCTCTCTGAAGACCCAGTTGCCAATTAGCCTGCCATCTGTGTCATCGCAGCAGGGGCTGGTCATGCCCCTCAAGTCAGAGCTTTACCTCTGTCCTGTTCCAAATGAGTGGAAAGCACAGTTGGGGACTGGGTGACCATGGCCACTACCAGTGTTCAGAGCAGAGAAGTGAGGAGGAGAGGCATGGGCTGTCAGTCTCCACAGTGAGACTCCTGTCTTGGCCGAGGTCACAGAGCTGGCCACCGCCTGGCCCCTGCCTCTCCCCATGGGCAAGTAAGCAAGTAGCCAGTGACCGGGGGGGGGGCTCCATCATCTCTCCTATTTTTCAGCTCTATAGAGCTGCAATTTTATAGCGTGAGGTTGGTTCTGGCACTTTCTGCTGCAGGGTATCAAAGTCAACACAACTGAGTGTGGGTGTTTCTACCTCTGAAAAGTCATCATTCGGGAGGGGGTTGTAGGAATGTGCATAAAGATGCAGGCACGGGTTTGTGCATTTGTGTGTGAACACATGTATGCATCCTGGAAAAGTGCGGGTACCCGTGGATGGGCCACGTGCTGTGTGTACATGTGTTGTATACATGGACACGTATGCATTTGTGGCTTTGTGACATATGGGCACGTACGAGGCACGGGTGCACGAGTGTGCATGTGTGTGTGTGCAGCACAGTGAGGGCCAGGTAGAAGGGATGGAATTCGAGGGCCCGTCCTGGTTCCCAGTTCCCTTTACTTCTTTCTGGAAGGTGTTCCTGCTGCAGCCATCGGCCTGGCCTGCCCTTTGCCCCTCTTTGCCCTTCCACCAGAGTGGTGTTATTTTCCTCGAGAACGAGGCTGGGAACTCGGTAACTCTGCCATTAGGCTTGGAACGCACGTTTGGTGATAATTTACAAAGGTCTTTCCCTTTCCTGTTTTCTCTTGACTCCCAGATAGAACCCGTGAGGCTAGTATCATCATCTCTGTTTTTTCAGATGAGCTAATGGAGGCACCCCCAGAGGCCAAGTGACAAGTGAGAGGGGAGGACTTGTGTACAAGGTCTCCCCGCTCCACATTCCCTGTCACTGAAGAAGGGCAGGTGGAGTGGGCCCTTTATGGACATGGCTCTTCTCTTGGACACATTTTTCTCTGACTTCTTCCTGGCCAGTCAAGATCGAGGGTCAGGCAGGAGCCAAGGTCAGTGTGAAGAGCCAGGCAGGGGTGGCAGGCAGTGGCGCCGGCCTCAAAGCTGGGGGGATGGCACAGAGCCACAGCATTGGGTAAACTGGGCCGCCAAATGCCACGGACATGTCGGGTCTCGCCTCACCCGTTGCTCCCGGAGATTAGCAGCTGCAGTCATGGGGCCAGAGAGCCATCTCCTCGGAGCAGCTGGGCAAGGAGCGGCAGGGAGGGAATGAGGGAGCTGCTCATGGGCGGGAAGAGTTTTGGGTGGCCCCGTGCCGGAGCACGTGGGGTCACTGGTCCAGTCCCCAGTTCCCAAGCTGGAGCATCACTGGTTCTCTGACTCTGATACTCTCACTGTGCCGGCAACCCAAGCAACTTGCCAGGCACACTCGTCGCCTGGTCCACTCCTCACAGCAACCCTACAAGGTGGCTACTTTGGTGCCCATTTTGGGGATGAGAAAATTGAGATCCTTGGAGATTAAATGATTGGCCCAAACACACATACTGAGTCGGAATTCGCAGCAGAAGACCCAAGCTCTCATCCCAACTGGGTCCCAGCAGAGCCCAGAATACGGTGGTTATTGGTCATCTACTAAGTATCAGGAACTGTGTCAGGGACTTCTCAGGTAACATCTCATTTATACACAAGTCAGTGAGGCAAAGAGCATCACCTCCATTTTAGAGAAGAGGAAAAAGACTCAGAGCAATTAATTCGCTTGCCCAAGGTCACAAATAGAAGGACCCAAACCCAGGCACACATGCCTAATGCAGCTGAGATGACCTTCCTAAAATGTAGATCTGCCCAAGCCTCGTCTTGCTTCCCACTGCTCCCTGGTGCCTCGAGGACCACAGGGAAATTGAAGAGCCTAACCTGGCATTCAAGGCCATCCACCAAGTGGCCCTGAGCACTGCTCCGTCTCCAGCCGGTCCCCCACCCGCTGGCCCCCTGCAGCCACGGTGCCGCATTCCCCTGAGCAAGCTAGGTATCTGCAGGGCTCTGGCCTTGGCAAAGCCTGGTCCGTCTGCCAGAAACGCCCTTCGCCCTCTTCTCTGCCGGTCAAATTCTCAGGTCACGTGATGGGATCAGAAAGAGTGTCCTAGAGGAGGTGTCATTTGAGTTGGAGTCAGTTAATCCTCTGGATTCATGAAACAACTTTCACATTCATTACAGTGTGATACTGCTGAGGAGACACTAGTGTTTATATCTGGTCACCAGGCTGGCAGTGCTCTTAGGACAGAGACGGTGAACTGTGTCCTAGCAACTGGCACAGGGCCTGCCTAACACAAGCATTCAGCTTGAGTTTGTGGTGGGGTGGAAGGATGCACGGACGGATGGATGGAAGAATAGATGGATGGATGCTTGGACAGAGAGATGTGAAAAAATATTGCAATAATTGGGTGGGCGGATGGATTGATGGCTTAACTGGAAGATGGAAAAATTGATGGAGAGATGGATGGAGCTTGGAAGGATGGCAGAAGGAGGAACAGGCAAAATACTCACATCAACAGGCACACAGCTCTTCAGCACTGGGGGACTGTGTGGAGTATCGTCCCTCCCCTCCCCTTGCACCTCACTCAGCCAATAGCTCAAGAAGCCTCCCTGTTTGCACCTCGTACAACTTTTTGTTCCAGGTTGAAAGAGACCTGGCGGGCCCCTCTGGGCAAGGAGCAGAAACGTGTCCCTAACGGGGTGGGAAAGGCCCCCCACCCTCTGTGTTGAGCTCACATCCTGGAAACCTGTGGCTGTACTCTAGGAAGACGCAGGGCCTGCCCTGTCCCCTGAGATGAGCTAAGCAGGGAGTAGCCCGCAGTTCTGCCTTTCCATTAGCTAAGAACTCTTCCAAGCCGGGCCTCTCCCAGCTCCAAATTCCACTGCCCAGGGTAATTGGAGCTGAGGCCTGAGCCCAATGTTGCTTCAATCCCCAAACCAAAACCACACTGGCTGGAGTAAGAGGGGCCTTGGGGTCAGCATCTAGGAGGCACAGGGGAAGTTGGACCAACATCTGGAGACAGCTGGAGGCAGCTGGGCCACCATCAGGAGCAGGTTCGGAGAGCAGTGGCTCTGAACTCCCAGCGGTGAGTATGAGTCCTCTTCGGGAGCACGTGGGGCTGAAGCATGGGCCCCTTCTTCTGAGGAGGGCCAAAGGCCCAGGCTTCTCTCCGGGTCCCACCCCAATCCTCACGTCCCCGCTCACCCCGGCAGCCTCACATCTGCGAGCAAGGCCTGCCAAGTAAACAGCTGCAGCCCACGCTCCGAGGCTCCCCAAACCCCAGCAGTACCCACAACGGCCAAAGCCACATCCCATCCGTCCCCCAGTGCAGGGCCCACGGGAGGGGAAATGCTCGTTAATCACCAGGAGATGGCTTCCGGGCAGCCTCGAAGACAGGCCGAGGAGACTGGAGCTGGGACCGAGCTCCCCACAGTTCCCAGGGGAGGTCAGGGCTCCCTCTCTGACCCAGCACAGACTCCGTCAGTCAGTGGCCTGCCTTCTGGTGCCCCAGGAATCTCTGAGAGCCAGTCAGCCCTGGTTGCAGCCTGGACACTGGGAGAGGAGGGTGGTCCTCCTGTGCGTGTGTCCTCTGCCATCACGCCTTCCTTCCTCTATCCAGTGAGCATCCAGAAAAGCCTCCAAGGTCAGGAAGTTTGTAACCTTGGTTCTTTGCCTGGCCATTGGCCGATCGTGTGACTTTGGGCAAGTGATTTTTCCTCCCAGGGCCTCAGATTCTGCAAACTGGGCAAAGAGCTCTGGCTCTACCTGTGTACACATCCTAGAACTAGTCCTCACACTATAGGGAGGGCCC